TTGGGTAATATTATTTGCTTTATAGTACAATCTATTTTTTGGCTGAAAAGTGTCATCTATCTGCCTTTTTTGCTTGTGTGGTTTCTGCCTAGAAGTCAGCACATAGTTAGTCTTGATGCTCATTGATGTCACCATTGAGGGGTGATCATTTTATTTTTCACCAGGTTCTCTCAGAATTATTTTGTGGGGGGGGGGTTGGAAAGTTTGATTTTGGTATGTAATTTTATTTTTCACCAGCTTCAGAATTATTTTTTTGGGGGGGTTTGGAAAGTTTGATTTTGGTATGTCTTGGTAACTTACTCTTGAGGCCTATCATGTTTGGGGTTTATTGAGCTTATAGTGAGTGAAGCAGTCTTGTCTTTTATGATATTAGGGACATTTTCTATAAATCTTTAAAAGTTCTCTTTTGGAGTTCTAATTACATATAAATTCTTCCGCTTGATAGGAAGGTGTTCCACATAACTCTTAGATTTTTTTGTTTGTTTTCTTTTGTTTTTCCTCATTCTCGTACCAAATTGTTACTTAAACAGATTAGTAGCAAGGGCTTGGCCCTCTGTTTTGCTGATTCTTTCTCCCATTGATTCAGTTATTCTTCTGTGTCTTCCAATGAGTTATTTATTTTTGATGTGTCTTAGTTAATCTCCTGAATTTTTAGTTCTTTTTGTATATTTTCTAATCGCCTGGCCATTTTGTTCTCGTTTTTTGGAATTCTTTTACTTCTATGTATGTGTTTTCTCTGATTTTTTTTGAGGATCCTGTATATAAGTCTTTTGAATTATTTATCAAGTTGTCCTATTACCATGTCTTCCTCCAGAAAGTGTTCTGCCCCTTTATCTTAATTAAAGCCTTCTTATCCTGTTTCTTCATATGATTAGAATCGTCTGCTCTCATAGTGGCAGTAAGATGAGTGGAGGTGGGAGAGTAGGATCTTATCTGATACTAGGGTCCCATCATGGCCCTCTGGGACCTTGGGGTCCTTCTGGGTTGCTGGTACCAGGGAGTGTGTCCCAAATGAATTGGATAGGCCTTTCTTTGTATATAAATTGGGATATCAGTAGATGTTAAGAGACTAAGGAGTGTAAATGTATGTGCAGTCAGACTGCTGGAACTTTCTGGGCTTAGGCATATGTGACATAGAAGTTAGATGAACATTAGTTAGAGACAGACACTGGAAACTCCTTTTCATTGTTGAATAAAAGTACAGATGGCATCTATTGATATGTGATAGATGGTATAATGTGATGTGGCTAGCAGGCCAGTTACCAGGCATGGGTGCAGGGTGTATTCACATCTCTCCAGATATGGATGTCATGGCTGTGGTTTAGCTGGTTGGCAAGTGAGTGGGGGTGAAGAGAGTGCTCAGGCTCTGGTGTCTGGATGTGCGACGTAGGTGCTTGGACAGATTTAGGGGTGAGGGAAGGAGCTTGTACTATCTTTTGCCAGATAGGCACCATGAGAGTACATAGAGTACAGGCCATTAGTAGGGGAAGGAGTTGAGGAGCAGGGTGGGCTGGCTATCCGATGTACTGCCAGTGTCCAATTTGCAAAGCAGTAATGTGCCAGTTGTCAAACCAGCAGCATGGGAATGCACACCACTTGTCAGGGTAGCAGACTGATGATAGCCAGCAGCACACGCTTGTGCAAGGTGGCAAGGGGTAGTGGAGTGCACAGGGGACAATCTACAGTGGTGTGTGTCACTGGTTCTTGGGTTAGTGGAGTGAGCAGGTGTATTGGTGGCCATCTAATGGCATGGGATTCATGCTTCAGACCACTGAGTGAGGAAGGGGTCCAGTAGGGGCTCTACCAGTCACCAGTTGGGTGGTGGGGGACGGGTGACAGGAATATACTCCTGTGGTTGCTGGTTACCAACTTGAACACCAAGGTACTCCTGAGTGCTAGTGATCAGAGCTCTGCCTGGACCCAATGTGGGGGGTGGGCACTATTCAACTCCTCTCTCTGGCTGCCCCCAACCCAAACCATCAGGGACTACTGTTGGCGAGGAGTTCGGTACCCTGTCTCCCTGCTCCCTCCCTACATATCTGGAGCTCTATCCCACTTGGCTCCACCTTCCCTCCCAATAGTGGGTTACTGTTCTACTCAGCTTGCTTCACTCTGGATTTGTTCACATTGTATCTGTCTCTTACAGAGGTGGGGGTGGGAGTTTCCTCTGCCCCTTACTCAAGAACACTGCTTGCTTTGTCTCAAGATGCCAATTTGTGACAGACCAACTGGGAGGCATCTACACAATCTGTATGTCTACTTGCTCATCCAGTTTCTTCTTTCATTCAGTGTTCAGCCTAATTCTTTATCCTTTCACTTGGTGCTCAGAGTTCCAAGACTTCCATTTGCATTTATTTCACTTGGTTTCCATAAGGGAAGGGCATGGTGTGCCTCTCTAAGTTGCCCTCTTTCTCCCTCTGGCTTTTATTTTTGTTCTTAGTGGTCCTTACTGCCATGCCGAAAATGTCTCTCTGGGGTTGTTTTCAATCTCAGCATTTACTCAGAATACTCTAGGTTTCATATAATCAGGATTGAACTGGAAATTGAAACCTGGTTTCTGTTCTGTGTGTTAACTCTGAATTTTTTTTTGTATTTATCATCTCTAAAATGAGAATCTTGAGATATTATTGTCTGTGTTCTAAATAAGTAGTTCCTTCCTATGGCTTGGGTTAATCAAAGTAGAAAATGTAGTTTTGTTTCTCCAGGTACTAGACACTCTGGAAACCATACTTCTTTTGTGACCCTTAGATTCCTGAGTAAAATGAGAGGTCAGAAATGGCAAATATGCTTCATTTCATGTGCTTATTTTAGTTGATTACCAAAAATTCCTTGGAGCACATGACTGAGGATTCTAGGAGCACATCTCCTCCCCATGGGAAAGGATGCAGTAAATACTTGACATCTTTGTCATGCAGAAAGAGAATGAAAGCATTTTTTACTCATATTTTCTACCACTGGCTTGACTAGTGTCTATTAACTCATTCATTTCTAAAATACCTGACATGCCACTGTGGCAAGGCTGTTTAGTTCTCTTAGCATGAAGATAACCCACCAGTGAACTGACCATTTCTAAAGTGTTATTCCTTATCCAAGCAGTCCCTGTGCACTGAAATTTAATCCTATGCTATTTAGGGATGCATAAGTATGTAATAGAATCCTAAGATATGGGAGAAATTCAAACAGTGATTAAACTGGGTCTGGAGGAGAAGAGTGAGACAGTATTTGTTATTTTCTTCCTGATATTTTTATATCAGGATGTTTGTTATATTTTTTTAATCTTTTTTTTTAATCTAATGTCTGTAAAACTGCCATAAATAAAAATGTTTGGGCCAGTGCTTCTCAACTAAGCTGCATATTAGAATCACCGGAGGAGCTTTTGAAAGTCCACATGCCAGGACTCCTCACCCCCAGAGATTTTGGTTCATTAGGTAAAGCCCAAGCATAGCTGTAATTTTTTAAATTACACATGAATGACATCATGGAAGTACAGTCATCAAAATCTGGAATGGAAGAAAATCAAGTCACTCAAAAGCAACATGTGATATGTTAATATGGGTTAATAGTATAAACAAACTAATTGTTTAAGACAAATTTCTGAAACAGAGAAAGCTGAATAAATAATACCGATTTGGTTTTTGATATCAGGGAGTTACAAAGGGACTTCAAAATTTGTGCAGGGAAATGGAATTTAAAAATAATTGAATTTTCCCACAAACATTTGGAAGCCCCTCATATTTAATGATCTGTTCCCATAATAATTACAGTCTGGAAAATTCTATGGAGCAGTTCTTTTAAAAAAAATCATTTTATTGAGAACTCTTTCAGATATAACAATCCATAATTCAGTTAGATCAAGCACAATTTTACAATTGCTATCACCATCAGTTTCAAAACATTTTCTTTCTTCTTGAATTCTTTGATATCAGCTCTCCTTTATCACCTCCCTCTCCCACCGTACCACCCTCCTGCCCCCCGCCCCACTCAAGGAACCTTTAGTATTATTTCCCCCCCCAATTTAAGTGGGTAATAAGGGGGATCAAATGATAGGGTGCTAAATTTTAACCTAACTGTATCTACAACAATCCACTTTCCAATGTATTTTTGCATGTTACCAAGACTATTCACATCCCTGATCCAAGCCAGGGTAATTTCCATTGCTTCATGTTAGACATTGAATAAGGAAGACTGTATTTGAATTATGGTGCTGACACAGACTATTGAAAGTATCATGTACTACCAAAAGAAGAAACAAACCTGTTTTGAAAGAAGTACAGCCAGAATCCGCCTTAGAGGCAAGGATAAGGAAACTTGATCTCACGTACTTTGGACATGTTGTCAAGAGAGACCAGTTAAGTGGAGAAGGACATCAAGCTTAGTAAAGTGTAGGGAGCAGTAAATCAGAGGAGGGCCTTGACAAGATGAACTGATTCAGTGGTTGCAACAATGGGCTCCTACCTAAGAACAATTGCAAGGATGACGCAGGACCCGGCAGTGTTACCTTCTGTTGTACATAGGGTCACTGTGTGTCAGAACCGACTGACGGCATCTAGCAACAACATTATTTCTAAGAGTAGAAAGTAGACATCAGGTGCCCAGAGACATAAAGTATTCCACTAATAATATTGTGTATTGTCTTAAGAGTGAGTTACATTTTAAAATAATATTTTCCTACTAACAGCTAAGTCAGTGTTGGTAATTGAGTAAGAATTTGTAATACACCATTTTATCTGATTTTAAGAATTCATAGTATTTTTTTTTCAAATTTTCTTACTATTCTGGTTTTCTTTAAATTAACTTAAGAGTATAAATTTTGTTTCCTAACAGTATTTTATATAGCCGTAACTTTAGTGTAGCTAAGGAAAAACATTGAGAGAACCTATTTTTTGCATCCTCATAGGAATTTTACCTATCTTAAAAAGCAACTAGCTCTAAAGATTTATCTTAACTTAGCCTTGTGTATAAAAGAGAAGAAATATTAATATTACATTTATCTTTTACAGAAATAGCTATTCAAGATGCTACCTTTGTGGACTAGGATAATACAAGCCTCATTTATTTTCCTCACCGCTGAATCTTTAGGTAAGATCCATGGTATTTGATAGGCATATCAAATTCTACATCTCTCCCCAGGTTGTTGGTAAAAATGTCGTAAAAAGCAGGATAAAAGCAGGAATTATCTATTACCTCTATTACCGTCTTAAAAATTAGCTCAGAACACTTTGGCTTCTTAAAATAACATTTATATACTCTCTCATGGTTTGTGTACATCAGGAATAAAGACAGACATAGTCAGACTAGATCATCTTTATTTTATGGTTATTTGGCCCGTCAGTTGTAGAATTTAAACCAGTAGTTCTCAACCTGTGGGCTGCGACTTCTTTGGGGGTTGAACGACCCTTTCACAGGGGTCACCTAATTCATAACCGTAGCAAATTACAGTTATGAAGTAGCAACGAAAATAATTTTATGGTTGGGGGTCACCACAACATAAGGAACTGTATTAAAGGGTCACAGGGTGAGGAAGGTTGAGAACCATTGATTTAGGCATTGGCCTGCAGTCATCTGAAGTTTCACATATGCATTCCCTATTGATGCTGGAAGTGGGCTGAGGGCTTTGCTGCATCTGTAGGCCAGACGCCCACATGTAGTCTTGGCTTCCATACATGTTCTTCAGTTCCAAGGAGAAATGTCTCAAGAGAAACAGATCTAGTCTAGTTGGAACCTGTATCTTAGTGAACTGGCTTTGGAAATCATATAGTGTACTCCATTGGCTGAACCATTCACACATACCCACAGATCTAAGGGGAGAAAATATAACCCCAACCCGAGAGTGGAAGGAGTAGCATCCACATTTTACTAAGAACACATGGAGTGGAATGATTGTGAGGGGGCTTCAGAAAGTTTACAGAAAAATGCCATTATCTTTCCATATTTTTTCTGCAATCTGAGGGCTATCTCAGTTATTCACCTGAGATAACGCTAGGAGAAACATGGGCCGTTAGGGCTACATGTAGGGGTTTAGATCTTATCAATACAGCCAATTGGCTTTTTTTTAGGTAGGGATTTTCATCCCATTTATTATTTATTGTTTCAAACTAACGTATTTATTATCTCTTAATGTTTTTTTCAATCCTTTGTTGTCCAATATTGTATGTACTATCTCACTCTGCTCTCCCAGTCTCACCTCTCAACAGGACTCAGGAGAGGTTAGTTTTGATCCTCGGTGTGAATCGTGGGGCAGGATAGATGATGGGACAAGTATGAAACACAGCTTGTATTTTTTAAGCCTGAATAGATTTTTCTCAAGTCAGAGTTATGTTTTATAGTTTATGTATTTCTTTACAAATGTTGTCATTCAATGTTATCAGCATTTCATTCCATTTATGCATTTTCTTCTTTTTCTATGTCTATCTACCAGCCAGACTTTGCAATCTTTTAAATATTTTTTTATTGTTCCTTTGCAGATGCACTTCTAGATCCATGTGGCTATATCAACCCTGAATCTTCAGTCATACAACTTGGATCGAATTTCACTGCAGTTTGTATACTAAAGGAAAAGTGTATGGATAAGTTTGCTGTAAATGGTGATAACATTTTCTGGAAAACAAACCATGCTGCTGTTCCTAAGGAACAATATAAAACCATAAACAAAACAGCATCTCGTGTAACCTTTACAAATGTATCTTTCTTAAATACTCAACTTACTTGCAACATTTATATACTGGGACAGATTGAGCAAAATATTTATGGAATCACCATCATTGCAGGCTGTGAGTTTTGTTTTGTTATGTTTGTATGTAGGGGAGAAGGCAGGGTGGGCAGTTGCGGTGTGGGGGATGGGAGAGGTTATTTTTCAAACTTTATCATTACTCCCCAAATGCTGTCAAGTCTATTTCAATTAGCTCTATAGAACAAAGTAACACTGTTTCATGGGGCATCCGGGGTTGTAAATCTTTACTAGAACAGGCAGCTTCATCTTTCTCCTGAGAAGCAGCTGATAGGTTTGAACTGCTAACGTTGCAGTTACCAACCCACCACTTAACCCATTATGTCACCAGGACTCCTTACCATGACTAGTTAACTACACTTTCGGTGTCTTGGTCTTTATGAAATGTAATAATTGATGGCCTCGGTGACTTGGACACACCCAGAAAAAAAAGAAAGCAAGCTTGGGAATTACATTTGCCTTATCAGTACACAAAAGCCTAGAAAGTAACATGAAGCTTTATATTTGTCCTTGAAAGTCAAGCACTGTCCATTTCTAGAAAAATATTATAAGGTCCCCAAGAAAGTATTCTTGTGTTGAAATCTGTGGATATATTTATTAATAACTTTCAGCATTCCCTTAATTATTCAAACATTGCCCAGCTACCTGAAGATGATTACATACTAGAGAAAACTCCTCTTGCAGGTCAATGCAAATATAGTCAACTTTCTATGTTCCAAAAGTGGATTATAAAATTTGTGAATCAACCAAACTTTACCATGTTGGCATCTGTATTTTTCTGGCATAGAGTTTGGGAAACTATGAAGATGAGAAATAAATCAGTCAATTTTGCTTCTACTTAGTTGCTATGTAAATACAGTATATACTTGAGTAAAAGTTGAGTTTTTCAGCAGTTTTTGTGTTAAAATTAGGTGCCTTGACTGATAATTCAGGTTGGCTTATACTCAAGTATATATGGTACTTCTAAATAAACATTATGGGAAAAAGCAAAAGCATAAATAATTAAGCTTGATGGGAGAAAGCAAAACATTAATAAATAAGCATTATGGTCAAACCCATTGGTAATAATATGTAGTTGTAAATGGTTAATTTTTTTCTAGAAAATTAATTTGAAACAAACTAGTAAATGAAAAGTGTGATAAAAAATATTGTTTAAATAGAAAATAAATTAACTTCTTAGTAACCAGTATTATGTCCTTATTTTTTGCTTGTGTTTGTGTTTTCTATCTAATTATAAATACCTTATGTGGCATATAGAATTTTTTTGGATTTCCTAATGCAAATTACTCTTTTTTAGTGCCTCCAGAGAAACCTGAAAATTTGAGCTGTATTGTGAATGAGGGAAAGAATATGATGTGTCAGTGGGACCCTGGAAAGAAAACATACCTGGAAACAACCTATACTTTAAAATCTGAATGGTAGGTCATTTTAAATTTTGGATGTACTGTAGATTTTGCCGAGATTTTTATTCTATAAAGCCATGTTAAATGCAAATATCTGAGTTTGTCCTTAATTTTGCCATATTCTAAACATAAATAAAAGTGGAAAGTCCTATGTATCTATTATTAGCCCAGATTATTTTGAAAATCTCAGTCTTTTCATTTCATTCATATACATTTCAAGGGTGGTTGTTGTTAAGAGTCTGGCGAGTTGATTTTTCACTCATGTGACAAAGAACTGTTCCAATTTGGCTATAATCTTTGGAAGGCAGCTATGCTAAGTACTATACCACCAATGCTGCCTATAATCTTTGCCGAGGCAAATCATCAGGTCTTTCTCCCAAGGAACCCCCAGGTGAGTTTGAAACACCAACCTTTGCTTAGTAGCTGAGCACTTAACCATTGTATTACACCTTCTTAAATATCTCAATATCTCTAAAAGGGAAGGACTCTGAAAAACTACAATAGTATGCCTCAATATAATTTAAAATATGTTAACATCAAATATTCTCTAAGTATGTAAATTTCCCCAGTTCTCATGCTTATCAAAACATTTGTTTGAATCAAGATCCAAATAAGTTGCATACATTGAAAATTGATGTGTCTCATAATTTGTAGGTTTTCTCTGTCTCTCCTTTTTCCTTGTCATTTAACTGTTATACTGTTTAACATTCTTCTCCATACCACCTAAAAATTGTTATTAGATTTAAAGACTTGATCATATTCATTCTACTTCCTTCAGGAGACACATAATACCTGATGTTAAGATTGAAGTTCAACATTCAAAGTTTATAGTAAACAATATACCTTTCTTTCCCCTAGATTCAACAATTAAGACATTATGACAATTGTTCTATCACATATAAATTTGCCTGTGATCCTTCTCACTATCGCTCATCAAGATTAAAATGAATTGCTAACATTACTAAAGCCTGAAAATCTTCAAACTGTGTGGCACTAGTTCCAAACATGCCCCATCCTCACCCCGGCCTTGCTGACTCATAGCCACCATTCTCTGGGTTTCAAGACTGTAACTATTTACTGGAAGAGGAAGCCCAGTGATTTCTCACCGGCAGGACAACGTATAGAACTTATAAAACGTTTTAGGTAAAATCTGTATATACTGAAATGCACACATCATAAATATATCACTCAGTGAATTATGACAAATGTGCATACCTCTAAATCCTACCAACATAGAGAACATTATCAACTTACCCAGAAAGTTCCCACAGACCTTTTCCCAGGCATGCACTATCACCATTGCAGTTCCCATGAGAGAACTATTTTTCTTCACCATAAATTATTTTTGCATGTCCCAAAATGTCATACAAATGAAATCATACATCATATTCTCTTTTGTGATTTTTATGATCAAGCAGAATGTTTATGAAATATAATCATGTTTTGTACAACTACATCATTTGTTTATAAGTACCCAAATAAGGGTATTTTATTTTTCTATTTTTCACCTGAAAAACTTAAGGAAAACTTCCCCAGTCACCTGTTGATTATCCCAAGGTATCATTCATGTTGCTGCTAGGTGCTTTGGGATCGTTTCTGACTCCCAAGCCAGCCCATTTCTGCATTCCATTTAATGTTTGTCAATGTTGAAATTTCTTAGATTCATGCTTGGTACATTCCATGTTCAGATTATTAGTGGATATATTTGCAGCCGTTCTGCCTCATTTTGATTCATGCCCCATCCGCAAATGAAGGTCCAGAAAGCTTTAAGGTTAGCTCTACTTTAAGGAGGCAATTCTTCCCTAGTGGTATTTTGAGTGCCTTCCAGTCTGAGGAACTCATTTTTTGGAACTGTATCAGACCGTGTTCTATTGTGATTCATATGCTTTTCTTTGGATAATCCCTTAAAAGTAGGCAGATTCTTCTTCCTTCCTAGTCTAGTCTAGCATTCTGGAAACGCCACTGAAACTTGGCCTCTATGAGTGACCCTGCTTTTATGTGTAATACCGATGGCATGGCTTCTGGCACCACAGCAACACACAAACCTTCACAGTACAACAAAGTGACAGAGGAGTGGTGGCTAGGATTTATACACGTTTCGGTGGAACACAAGTCACTCTATAACAAATTATTGAATAAGTGTGTGAAGGAGGGAATAGCTGTTTCTTATTGCTGTGTAACAAATTACCACAAATTCCTGGCTTAAAACAACACAGATTTATTACCTTTTAGGGAGCGACGTCAAAATGTGCTGAGAGAAAGGTATGGGAGCATTTATGTTCTCGTCTTTACCAGCTTCTAGGGATTGCCTGCATTCTTGGATCCATGGCCCTTTCCTCCATCTTTCAGGCGCATTACTCCAGCCTCTGCTTTCAGCATCACACACCCTGTCGGACTTCTGTTTTCTTGTCTTTTGCTTATAAAGAGCCAGTGGTTACATTCAACTCAGTAACTCAACTCACTGAGACTAACCTTTTTAAAAAAATTATTTTATTGGGGGTTCAAACAACTTCATCACAATCCATACATACATCAATTGTGTAAAGCACATTTGTACATTCATTGCCCTCATCATTCTCAAAATATTTGCTCTCCACTTAAGCCCTTGGTATCAGCTCCTCATTTTTCCCCCGCTCTCCCCACATCCCCCTCCCTTATGAACCCTTGATAATTTATAGATTATTATTTTGTCATATCTTACACTGTCCAACTTCACTCACTTTTTTGTTGTCCATCCCCCAGGGAGGAGGTTATATATGGATCCTTATAATTGGTTCCCCCTTTCTACCCCACCTTCCCTCCACCCTCCGGCATCACCACTCTCACCACTGGTCCTGAAGGGATCATCTGTCATGTATTCCCTGTGCTTCTGGTTCCTGTCTGTACCAGTGTGCACTCTCTGGTCTAGCTGGATTTGTAAGGTAGAATTGGGATCATGATAGTGGGGGGAGGAAGCATTTGGGAACTAGCAGAAAGTTGTATGTTTGATTATTGCTACACTGTACCCTGATTGGCTGGTCCCCTCCTTGCAACCCTTCTGTAAGGGGATGTCCCGTTACCTACAGATGGGTTTTGGGTCTTCAGAGACTAACTTTTTAAGCAGGGAGTAGAAACCCTGTTTTTCTCCCAGGGAGTGACTGGTGGTTTTGAACTTCTGACCTTGCATTTAGCTGCCCAGTGTATAATCAATATGCCCTGGGGCTCTTAGTTATTATAATGAGCCAGTCTAAAGAATCCAGAATAGTTTCCCTGTATCAAGAAAACTTGTTCTACAGTTTGCTGTGCCAATCTGGATCACATCAGATCCTTTTCAAGTAATCTATTTTTAAGACTAACTGTTCTAATTTTGTATTTAGGGCAACAGAGTCATTTCCTGATTGCAAACCAAAGCGTGACACCCCCAACTTATGTACTGTTAGTTATACTCCTGTATATTTTGTCAACATGGAAGTCTGGGTGGAAGCAGAGAATGCCCTTGGGAAGGTTATGTCAGATCATCTTGAATTTGATCCCATAAATAAAGGTAATTATGAATCGAATTTTGAAACATGCTAGATTGTAATATACCTTTCACCAATTAAGACATTATAACAATTATTCTATCTAAAATTATGTTCAGCTTTTAGTCTAAAAGCAAGCATTTATTTATCATAATTATACTCTACAAAGCCATTTTATCAATAATATTTAAATTAACTTGGAAAAATCCATGATTTCACAGTTATTTTAATTTTGAATGTTTAAATTATATTGCATTGTTTTTTAAATTTGATGAGGGATCTTCAAAAAGTTCATGGAAAATGTGTATTGTTAAAAATCTATGCATGGATTTGAACTTTTTTTTTTGTACTAAAACTTGTACTAATTTGGTTTGATGCATTAAGGAGGATACGACATCAGTTTGAAAAGAACTCTATCAGAACAACATGAATTCTGCTAAAATTGATGCATGAATGAACATCAAACTTATGGTGACTCGTAGGTGGAAGACTTGTAAAATCATTGATATTTTATGGAAAAAATTGTGTACAGTGCCCCAAAGAAATCAGCAACTTACAAATGAATTCCTCATTTTAAACAGAGACCAAGAGATTATGTTGAAGATGAAGCCCACGAAGGTGGAAACAAAAGGCAACACTGTGCATCTCAGTTGCTTCCCCTTACACACTTTTCACTGGAAAATGAAAGTTAAGCAATCTTTCTGCTTAATAAGTGCCAAACTGTTGGCCCATGTCAGCTGCAGACAAGAGCAGAGCTTTCCATGGGAATTGTGAATAGGTAGTATCAAGATCCTAAAGTATTTGCTTGAAGAATTATAACAAGAAATGACATACAGCTTTACTAGTGTAATCATGACGATAACGCACAGTCAAAACAATGGCTGCTAAGAGTTGGGAGAAGTAGCAACAGTTTGGGGGATGGTCGAGCATTTTGCTTGTTGACTTCCTGGAGAGACAAAGATTGGTAAAATCTGCTTATTACAACAGTGCTTTAAGAACGTTGAAGAGCCCAGACGGCGTAGTGGTTACACGTTGGCCTGAGATCCTCCAGGTCAGCAGTTCAAAACCACTGTCTTCTCCAAGGAAGAAAAATGGGTTTTTTTCCTGTAAACAGTTAAAAGTCTTGGAAACACAAGGGCAGTTCTACCCTGTCCTATGAGTCTGCATTGAGAAAGCTAGTCAAAGCGTAGGTAGAAAAATCCCCAGGAGAGCTTCACCAGAGAGTCACTCACAACAACAGTGCTTTGGCTCATTCCTCTCAACCAAACGAGGATAACTTTGCAAGTTTCCATAGGGACTCATTCAAGTCTACATTTGACTCCTCCTGGCTTTGGATAAAATCTGACCTCATTTGGCTACTCAAAGGGGAAAGAGGATCCATCTTCACTCTAGCTCAAGGCCAATTGCCATGAGACAGAGGTCAGACATGCTTGCCCCCTCCATCTTTTATTCTGACAACAACCATTCCTCCCTTAACACTACTTTTTTGCTGGGTTCAAAAATTAATTGCGAAGACTGCACAGAATTTAGAAACACTCAGGATTCAGGGGGATTATTTGGAAAGTTTGCAAGTTACCACAAACCAGGATCATAAAGCATTGTGGACATAGTCATTGTCCACAGTAGCACCTCCTTGGCCCAGCAGCCAAGTCTCTCTTCATTCCTCGGCCTCTCAGCCATGTGCTCTCTTGGACCACACGGGCCAGGAAGCCACCTACTGCTCTGCCTCACATACTTGGAGAGTCGCAGTGCTGCTCCTGTGCTCTGTCTCATGCTCTCGTTGCCTCTGCCTCTGGTTCTAATGTGACATGGCCTCTCTGCCTCCAACACTTATAATAGTGTGGAATAAACACTATTATTCCATGCTAATAAATTATTCCACTGATAAAGCTATTTGTACTAATAAGCATTATTTTCAGAGTAATAAATGCATCTGGTAATGTGAATGAGTATTGTGAAATACAGAAAACTATGCAGTATATTTGAGTTTGTATAACGTTTTAAAAGTGAAACATGGTAAACGTTAGGGTTTCTTTTTCAGTGAAGCCCAACCCACCAAGTAAGTTATCAGTCAGAAACGCAGAACTGCCTAGCGTCTTAAATTTATCATGGACCAATTCAAATTTGGAGCACTTCTTAAGACTGAAATACAACATTCAATATCGGGCCAAGGATGCCCCAACATGGAGCCAGGTAAATGGAAAGTTATTGTTTATTTCAGTATTTAACTGAAAAAGTCTCATTTTCTGAATGGCTTAAGTTTCTGGTTACATGGGAAACTTTGCTTTCACAGTTCTAGATCTTTATTTTAAACAATGGCACGTAGGGAAACATTCAGATAGAAATCAGAGCCTTATTATATTCAGATACCTTTAAGTAAAATATGGAAGAGTGTGTGTGTGCAAGATAATAGAGAATATAATTTTTGATCAAAGATGAAAGTAGTGAAAAGAAAAAAATTAAAGGGCAGCTAAAAGGAGTATGTGAATAAAGTAAAACAGTTATTGGTAAAGATCTGTGGTTCAAATCCAACCGAGGCCTTTTTTCTAAAGTTTGATTGGAACATAGCCACCCTGATTTGCTTATGTGTTGTTTGTCGATTTCTTTTTCCTGCTGCCATGGCAGAAATGAATACACCTATTCCTCACTGAATGACTACTTTGTGATCCAGTGTTTCGCATCTACTGCAGTAGTAAAAAAATGTACTCTCCCACTATTTTATGTATTGTCCATGCATGTCTGGGAGCAACAAATGCTGAGGGTGCTAGACCAGAGCTGCACTGGCCATCAGAAGAGTGTGTATCACTTTGGCTCTCAGTGAGTTGACAGTTATATAACAATATAATTTGGCTAATGTAGCCATCCTTCACTTTGTGATCTGATGTGGTCATCGATTTGTGTATAGCTGATTTTCACATTATTTGGTCTCTGGAACCTGACTATATAAATAAGTGAGCAGTGGGTGAAGTTGCAACAGAGACCACTGACCCACCAAACCAAAACCAAATTCACTGCCGTGGAGCCCATTCTAACTCATGACAACCCTGTAGGACAGAGTAGAACTGCCCCTATGGGTTTCCAAGACTGTAACTCTGTAACTTTATATATGAACAGTTTTCTTAGGACATAATCCAAATATCATACAATTCAGTACAGTCATATCAAGAATCATACAATCATTACCACAATCAATTTTATAACATTTATTTTCTTGTACTCCTTGTTATTAGGTCCCCATTTCCCCTCAACTGTCCCTGCTGTACCACTGAAAAAACATTTATCTAGTTACTTGCCTGTAGGTTCACCCATCCTGGATATCACATGCTAGAAAACATACAAAAACACAAAACAATGAGTCAAAAAGCTAACAATAATAACAAAATAAAATAGAGAAAACCCCCAGTTGATAAGAAAACATTAAAAACTAAAACTATAAAATGTGTTCAAAGAGAAATCAAATAATAAGCTGTTTGATTTTAGCCTAAGTGTATATTTCATAATCCACTTCCCGATGCACTCTGTATGAGAGTCAGGCTATGCACATCCTGGTCTACATGCAGAAGGGGCTGCACTGGCGGCTTCATCCAAATGTGTTTCCCCTTCACTTGTTTTTTTAACTGCTAGAACTTTTAGATGTGTCAAAAAGATCAAATCAGATGTTGCATTCAACCATTCAAACCAGGTGTTATATGTTAATCTACTACAATCTTGAGACTGTAACTCTTTAAGGAGTGAGAGCCTCGTCTTTCTCTCAGTGAACTGCTGGTGGCTTTAAATTGCTGACCTTGTAGTTACCAGCCCAACACATCACTGGGGCTCCTGGCCCACAAGGCATAAAATATTTACTCTTTAGCGCTTTACACTTGGGTCCCAGTTAAACAATGGTTCTTTGTTCACTTAGCTGCTAACCAACAAGGTAGACAATTCAAACCTAATGACTCTTGGCAGGGAGAAAAGTCTTAACAATCTGCTCCCATTACAACCTAGAAAACCCTATGGGGCAGTTTTACTCTGCCCTGTAGGTTCACCGAGTTGGAATTAATAACACAACCCTACCCCAACCCCCACCCTCTGCTGCCATGATGATACAGAAGATGATTCAGATGATGCACAACAAATTCTTACAGCACTTTCAAAAGGCTTTCAGTATAAGCATCCAATTCTTTGCTATGATTCCAACTGCCCCTAAAGACATACATGCTCATGTTTTTGTTTTTCTAGTGGCACTAATACTCTCATAAGTAAATAATGACTTTACCTCTCTGTCCCCCCTCCCACTTAAAGGACTCAGAGTATAGTAAGGAAAAGTAATAGAAATAAAATTGGAGTAATAGCTTCTATTGTACCAAGTGACTACATCCCTGAGGTACTTCAGAATATTTTTTAATTCCACAGAGTCTTAATTCAAAGCTGTCAAAAAGACAGGCTTCTATTCTATGTTCAAGCATGGTAATAGTTCTCTGCTGTTATAAGCCCCAGAAGTTTGACAACCCTCTCTAAATGGGCTTTCCTCCACTTTCTTATAGACACCTTACTAACTCTTCCTGAATTGATTCTAATCATGGTGCACCATGTTTTGTCTGAAACCCTAAGTGCTGCAGGCTCCATGGAAGTGGAACAAAAAATTAAAAGAACAATGACAGATTTCTCCATGTTTCACACACCTAGCAACTTCCCTGATTTTTTAACTGCTTTTTGATGTGTATTTCTTTCCAGAGCTTGAGATTTACTTATTAAGTCTTGTCTCATTAATTGATTTCTAATAGCTTATGCAACTTACAAAACTGATTGTTACTGGTTGATATATTTTGGTTCAGATTCCTCATGAAGATACATCATATACTCGAGATTCATTCACAGTCCAGGACCTTAAACCTTATACAGAGTATGTATTCAGGATTCGTTGTAGTAAAGCCGATGGCAAGGGATTCTGGAGTGACTGGAGTGAAGAAGCCAGGGGGATCACTTATGAAGCCCGTAAGTAAATCCAGTACATGAGGAAATCAAGTTGCTAGTGTGGTCATTGGTCAGTGGTACACTTCAACATATTCTGGCCATATCATTTTTTAGGTGTTTTATGTATCTTACTGCATTATTTACACTGAACATTCACTTCCCATTTAACCATTTGTGCGGCTTGTCGTGTCATTGGTCACTGTCTCCACAAGCACTCTCCCATTCACTTTCCTTGCCCCTCGTTGCCTTTTCATCTTCCAGTTTACTATCTTCGTTTACCCTGATTATTTTGTGCTGACTTCTTCCTTCTTGTATATTTACTTCCCTTTGCTAGAATTAACATGTTTTTTATCTAGTAAGTGATTATCCTTCCTTTCTTCTCCCATCCCTGGTAACTATCAAAGAATCTTGCTTTCTATGAGTCCACCTACTGTTGGATTTTTATAAAAGTAGTATTGTTCAGTACTCAGCATAGTGTCCTCCAAATTCATCCATGGAATGTTTCCCAGACTCATACTTCTTGTTGTTGGTGAATAGTGTTCCATAGTATGTTGGTACCACAATTTGTCTATACATTTATCCTTGGTTGGCTTTCTTTTTCTAGTGTGAATTATACTGCATTGAACATGGGTGTGCCCTGTCTGTGGCACTGCTCTAGGTGCTGAAGTTTCCCACATAATTGAGAGATTAGACCAGGGGTCCTCAAACTTTTTAAACAGGGGGCCAGTTCACTGTCCCTCAGACCTTTGGAGGGCCGGACTATAGTTTTAAAAAAAGCTATGAACAAATTCCTATGCACACTGGATGAGTTGGCTGCTAAGCAGGACAGGTAGCAGCGGCAAAAACACCTGGCGGGCCGTATAAATGTCCTCGGCGGGCCACATGTGGCCCGCAGGCCATAGTTTGAGGACACCTGGATTAGACCTTAGTCAGATATGTTGTTACCAAAAATCTGTTCTCAGCCTGTGGGGTCTCTTTGTATTCTTTGAGTAAACTCTTTTGGTGAGCAAAAATATGTCATTTTTAAAGCATTGAATTTAGTTTATCTGTGGGGGTATTTTTAGTTGTGTTTGTAGTGTATGTATGCCATAGATTAGGACTCCTGGATTTCTACCTATGTTGTTATCTTCTACAAATTTTCATTTTAGGTTTGACAATTTAGCTTATATTTATGGATCCTGTTTCATTTTTCTATAAATGGATATTTTGTTTTGCCAGCATCATTCGTTGCACTTTTTCTTTCACTTGAATCAACTTTGATATTATAGAAATTTTAAAAATTAAACTAGTAGTATTTTTTCTCTTTTAAAATTTTTATTTTAATAAATCGTTTTATTGGGGGCTCATACAACGCTTATCACAATCCATACATACATATATTGTGTCAAGCACATTTATACATTTGTTGCCATCATCATTTTCAAAACATTTTCTTTCTACTTGAGTCCTTGGTATCAACTCCTCATTTTTTCCCTTCCCTCCCTCATGAGCCCTTGATAATTTATAAATTATTATTATTTTGTCATGTCTTACATTGACCCATGATATCTCCCTTCACCCACTTTTCTGTTGTCCATCCCCCTGGGAGGGGGTTATAGCTAGATCATTGTGATTGGTTAGTTAAATTAGTAGTATTTAACACTTTACCTTTTACAGATTTTTTTTTTCACATGGTTGCTGATTATTGCAAAAATTCGGAGTTTTTTTAAACTCTGGTAATCATGTATGTAACAACACATTTGACATTTCAAAACTCTATCTCTATAGTTCTGTAAATTAGTGTTCACTATATCCTATTATCCTAAATCATCCCACTATAGAATAGTGAACCTACATTTCATTTATCCTTGCTTGTTTTATATTGTTACATACTATACATTTTGGGTAGGAGCCCTTGTGGCTTAGTGGTTATGCTTTGGGCTGCTAACTGCAAGGTCAGCAGTTCAAAACTACCAGCCACTCTTCGGGAGAAAGATGGGATTTTGCTACTCTTATAAAGCAGCAAGTTTCTTGCCTCAGAAACTCTCAGGGGCATTTCTTCCTGTCCTATAGGGTCGTTATAAGTCTGAATCAACTCACTTAGCAGTGAGTTTGCTTTTATACATTTTGGGGGCTTTTAGCATTTAATTAAATATGACATCAACTTGAACTTTTCAGCCCGAGAAACTAATGATGTGTATTATAGCTATGTATATGCTCACCAGATTGAGGTTAGAAAAGCTAGAGAAAAAGCTAAACCTTCAAGATACTGCCCTAAGGAAAACTCAAGCATACATGCTGTAATGGGAAAATGCTGTTACAAGGAGTTAGCTACTCACTGCTATTGAAAGGCACGAATATTAAGAACAAAGTAGGATTTTTTTTTTACAATGAAAAACTTTTTATTTTAAAAAGTGTGTGTATATGTTTTGTTTTTTAGGACCATCTAAGGAGCCAACGTTCTGGTATAAGATAGATCCATCCCATACTCATGGCTATAGATCTGTAAAACTGATATGGCAGGTAAAAAAATAATAAGTATACATACATACATATGTTTATATTCTTTTATTATGTCATACATCTATATTTATATGATATAAGTGAAGGTCCCCCAAAACTTAGATGTTTATGTTATGTAAACAAAAGCTCTTGCTAACTGTTTAATAAAAAGTTTGTAGAAATCAGGTTCATACTGCTTCATAGGTTTTAGGAAAGTATACGTTACATAAGAAGTATGGTTTTTGTATTTTATTGAATTTTCCATAGTGCCTCATAGGAAAGAAGTTTTGATTAATCTTGTAGTCCTCAAGAGATACAAAATATATGCTGATAATAGGAAATATAAAATTGTTCCATATTTCTTAAATGTGTTACCGTATATACTCGTATATAAGCCGAGTTTTTTTAGCACATTTTTAATGCAGTTTTTGTGGTAAAATTAGGTGCCATGGCTGATATTCGGGTTGCCTTATACTTTATATGGTATTTTTAAATCATAACGAGTTAGAAATGTTCAGGAAATATAAAAAAATAGGCCCACGTTCACAGTGCAGAATTGTATATGAGAATTTAGAACTAAAAGTAACAGAACGACACTTCTCCTTTATTTGAGGTCATGCTTTTTCTTTCCTTTATTCAGAATGTAATACTTTCACGTTAGGTATCCAGTTAGAAGTGAGGTTGTCAGTCCCTTCTATTTAAATACTTAAGGATTTAACACATTTAATGACAATTCTTAATGAAAACAAAGGAAAGCTGCTTAACTTTATTCAAGATTCACAGAATAAAGTTATAAAATTGTAACATAAGCTGTCTTACTACAGACAATGCCTCCTTTTGAAGCCAATGGAAAAATCTTGGATTATGAAGTGACGCTTACAAGATGGAAATCTCACCCCCAAATTTACAGAGTTAATGACACACAACTGATAGTAAACCTGACAAACGATCGCTATACAGCAAGTCTGACAGCACGGAATTTGGCTGGCCACTCAGACGCTTCTATCTTAACTATCCCTGCTTGTGACTTCCAAGGTTTGTGTGTGTGAGGGAACCTTGCTCAAAGGTGGGAATAATTAATTAGGTATCGGCAGGATGGGGAGGGGAAGAGTCATCTAAGACTGTTCTTTCACCTCACAAATCAATTAGCAGCCAAAGACTCTGAACACACTGTGGCTCACTTACAGTAGGATACTTAATTTTGTTTAGCACATTTCTGACGTTACAACACGTTTTAATATTTTAAAGGTATTGGTAATCCACCTGACTTAAATATATTTCCCTGTAGCTTTCAAAGAAGAAAAGTTTGACATTAAAATCTTACATAAAATATTTGAAGAGTTTGGGGACAAGAAGAAAATTAGTTAGAATAAGTTATCATGCTTATATGTAAATTTTAATAAATTGGCTTCATTTATGGGAACAAATATTATATGCCAAAAACAAAATTGATAGTAAGATCAATCACGGAAATAACAATGTAATGGAAATAACAATGAACTACCAAAATCAAATGTTTAAATATTTGCTATGATCCTTATTTTTGCTTTTGTTTAAAGCTTTCCAGCCTGTAGCGGATCTAAAGGCATTCCCCAAAGATAACAAGCTCTGGGTTGAATGGACCCCTACTGATGGGTCTGTAAAGAGATACATCCTCGAGTGGTGTGTGTGGTCAGATAAACTGCCCTGTACCCCAGACTGGCAACAAGAAGACAGCACTGTGCACCTCACATATATAAGAGGTAAACTTAGAAAAATGATATGAACTTGATCTGTTTGGGCGGATCTTTCTTTTAAATGCTTTCCTGGCTCATAGATATTGTGGTCCATTGAATACCCCTGTAGTAAGTAGCACAGTGTGTTACTTCTGCACATGTGACTTTCAAGAAGTCATGCTTGCCCTATCTGAACTGTAGGGTACCTTCATTGATAAAACGGGCTACTATATTTAACTTTCCTTTTGTAGCTCAATAGTTTGATCATTAGTGTGATGCTACAAAACTATAAATATAAGGTCATCTACATTCTGTTTTTAACTGGTTGTATGTCTTCTCTATATCTAATGTCTTCATTCTTCTGATGAGAAAGTAGTTTCTTTGAGCACCTGGACAACTTGCTCAGCATCTTACAACTACTGAATAGAGGGAGCAAAACTAAAGCTCAGTTTTGGAAGTGGTAGGAAAGAAACAAATGATATTACAGAGCTCTATATTGGATTGCTCTGTTTTAAAAGTACTTCAGGGTATCTCCCCCCTCCAAAAGAGAAAAAAAGCTCTTTTGTAATATGCATTTCTACTGCCAAGTGAGGATCAAGCAACTCACTCTGAGTTATTGTACCCAGTGGCATCCCCTCAAAAGGTTCCCTCCGGTCATGGTGAGTTTTTTCTCGAAAGCAGTTTTTTGTGATGGCTGATTTAAGAAAACAGCGTGCGGCTGTCAGATTTTGTTTCCTGCTCGGGAAAAAATTTCATAAAAACTGTTGTCATGTTGAACACAGCTTATAAGGACAGTGCTATGGGAAAAACTCAAATGTACGAGTGGTTTTCTCATTTCAAAGAAGGCAAAATGTAGATTGATGACAACCCTTGTTCTGGATGCCTATCAACCTCCTGAATGGACGAAAATGTTGATTCATAGTGCATTTTCAGTTCATTCCACCAGGTCAGACTGTTAATCGAGCTTTCTATTTAGAGGTTCTAAAAAGAGCATAACACTGTGCGACAAAAAAAGGCCTGATTTCTGGCAGATAGGGGACTGGTTTTTCCACCACAACAGTACACCTGCTCACATAGCCATCTCAGTGCTCCAGTTCTTTTGAAAAAAACTAGCACGCCTCTCTTGCCCCACTCATTTTACTCACCTGACCTTGTTCCATGCAACTTCTTTTTGTTTCCACAAATGAAGAGGGACATGAAAGGACAGAGATTTGATGACATAGAAGAGGTGAAACAAAAAACAAAAAACAAGGTAGATGCTATCAGCCATCACAACAGATATGTTTGAAAAATGTTTTTAAGAAGGGAATCGCAGATTTGGCAAGTGAATTAAGTGTAATGGAGAGTACTTGGAATGTGATATGGTTGTTTTGTAAAAAAAAATTTTTTTTTTAAATACGTAGCTTTGAAAAAAAAATCTTTTGGTGGGGTACCCCCTCATATCACTCACTCTGCCATATTGTGGTGGTTTGAAGGTTGCATGTACTGGGATAGTGTCATATTCATCATAAGACCATGTCAAGATCTAACCTGAAGTGTGGTACCACCCATGATACAGTAATAGCCATATGCCTTTAAGGAAGACGAGCTAATATGCCTATTACTCAAGAGTATGCACTAATAATTGGAATGTGAAAGTTAGAACAAAAAAAAAATTGGTATTTAGAAAATGGCCTGGGTGGTTGAAACAACTTGAGGTCTCATGATAGAATTTTGCAAGACCAATGAGTTAATCATTACAAATACCATTTTCAACAATACAATGGGCACTGTACACACAAAACTCCCTAGATGGGCTACACAAGAATCGAATGGACTATGTCTATTGAAACAGATGTTAGAAAAGCTCACTATATCAGTCAGTCCTAACAAACCTGGGGCCAGCTGTGGAACAGACCCTCAATGGCCCCTATGCAGGTTTGAGAGTGAAATCCCTACCTTGGCCATTTCTCACCTCAGTTTACAAACTATCCCAAGAATAGGTTGAGCATTGAACGCTACTGATCAGAGGAGTAAGACATTATAAACATATACCTGAAGAAAGCAAAAAGGTCACTCAAAAGATAGGAGAGAAAGTGAAGCCATTGATACTTGCTCTTGAATATTAGCTACAATGAAAAAATAATGATGTGAAACATCTAAACATCCAACTCTATAGTTAATGTACAAAATTATAGACAATCAAAAGGAAAAACAAGCTGGACATTCTTTAAGCTGAAATAACTGGTGGACAGGTGGGCTGATGCCGTGACTAGAACAGTGCAATCCAACACGTGAGGATGTCCCGGGAACTGGGCAATAGTTCTTTCTGTTGTGTTTGGGTCACGGTTCCATTTACTAATGAATATTAATAGCTCGTTAATTAAATTTCATTTTGAATCTTACCACACCAGCAAAAGAAAGTCCTATAAGTTTCATCCATCTGTGTCATTAAGGTCAAGTCTACTTTGAGGAGATAATCAAGACAATGCGCTGGATTTTTTTCAGAAGTCGATCAACAGGTCTTCCTTAGTCTGGAAGCCCCACTAAAACCTGTTTACCATGGGTGACCCTGCTGACAGGTGAAAAGGGGTGGCTTAGCTTCCATCATCAGAGTAACATTGAAGCCCCCGTAGGGCAACAAACTGAGAAAACAATGGTGACTTCTTGGTCCTCTAATCTCTCCCCCTCCCTACCCCCAAACCCATCTCTAGGGGGAAATAGCACAAATTTTTCCTAGTCACCTTAGAAGTCCGTGCTTTTCTTAAGTCTCATTGGTGGTACCTGGTTTATTAAACAATTTACTGATCACTAGGTAGGTTTTTTGAATTGTCAAATTATAAGGCTAATTATATAAATTCTGACTACAAATGCAACCCTTATTTGTATGAACAATATTTAAATTGTCTTTTATCTACTATATTGGCAATAAAAACAACCTGTTTTATAAACAGTTTTACTCCATTTAGTTTGAATCTAGTATATAATAGGGAAATTATAAATACTGATAGTGGAACAACAAACAACTTTCATTTTAGAAAATAACTGTTTTATCTACTATGCTTACTTTAGGAAACCTCATGAAGAGCAAATGTTATTTGGTAACAGTGACTCCAGTATATGGTGATGGACCAGGAACCCCTGAATCCATAAGGGCATACCTTAAACAAGCTGGTAAGCTCATGCTTCCTTTGGGAAATGTTAATTGCTTTATATTAGCAAAGACATTATTTCAATTTTACATAAAGATATGTCTTGGTCAAATAGTTTTCAGATAAGAGAACTTTACTAAATTGCAATGATTTTCAGTTAGCAAATACATTTATTTCGTTACAGCACCTTCCAGAGGACCTACTGTTCGGACAAAGAAAGTGGGGAAAAATGAAGCTGTCTTAGAATGGGATGAACTTCCTGTTGATGATCAAAATGGATTTATCAGAAATTACACTATACTTTATAAAACTGCCTTGGGAAATGAAACTGGTACTAAAACCATATCAGTTATTAAGATTCATATTTTTCTTCAGACTTTAAATATTAGTTTGACTCTTACCTTTTTCTGTGTGTGTGTAGTATGTTATCCTCAGAAAAGAGTCACCTGAGATTATGCCCCATGGTTACTTTAATGATCTTATTAACGAAATACTGCTTTGTGCTTGTAAGAAAAGAACATTGCTTTACAGTTACGAAAGTTTTCTGGTAAAATATTTGCATTTCCGTTTTGTTTTGTTTTTTATCTCTCACTTCCATCACATTGCCCCTGTGGGTTTCCAAGACTGTAACTCTTTACAGTTGTAGAATGCCCCATCGCTCTTCTGTGGAAGCAGCTGGAGGTTTTGAACTGCTGATTCTGACATTAGCAGGCCAGTGTGTAACCACTACACATATAGCACAAATGAAACAAGACATGGAACGGTTGAGAAAAACCTGCCTGCTTTTTCTTCCAGCTGTGAATGTGGATTCTTCGCACACAGAGTACACACTGTCTGCTTTGACAAGTGACACGTTGTACATGGTACGGATGGCAGCGTATACGGATGAAGGTGGGATGTATGGTCCTGACTTCACTTTTACTACTCCAAAGTTTGGTAAGGAATAATAAACTTTGGGATCGTTTTAGAAAAACTCAACCAGACTAGGCAGTTGGTGTCTATTCTCTTAAGAGGAAGAAGAGCCGGGGAAAAAAGAAGAGGATACAGAATGTGTGGGTCATTGTTTCACACGCGTTTTTCTCCTTTTCCCATGAGAAAAAAACTTAATGGTACCCCACTGTCATTATTGAAGCTTTACTCAAACTTCTGAAGAAAGAATCCTGATCAGAAATGGGGGAAATTCAGAATATCATTATGAAGGTGTTGGGCTGCAGAACTACTGGAGCCATGGATGTTGAAGGAACTCCTTAAACCCCAAATACCTGAAATCAAATAGCAGTGCAGCCTAACTAGTAACCTAATCACTATGCTCTTTCAAGGTAATATGTATGTGAGACCAAATCGACAATGCACTCACTGCTATTGAGTCGATTCCAACTTAGAGTGATTGTGGTAGCTACCTAATTTCTTGGCAGCTTGAAGGTATTTAAAAGCGTAGAGGGGTGGAGTTTAGCCTGTCCATCAGGCTGCAGCCTGATGGCCTCACCTGACAGTGGAACCGAGATACATACCTCTCCGGAGGCCTTCCTGCTTGCCGGCCACCCTGAGACCTGCTGGAGTCCTGCAATGTTTTCAGCTGACTTTGGATCCACAAGACTTTTCACTCACTGGCCTGTGATATTCTGCATCAGTGCATATGGTTGCGTGAGTCTGATGAGGGACTTAGAGACTAGTATCAGACTTACAGACTTGAGTTAGACTAGGGTGGAATCCTTTCTTGATCTATAATTATTCCTTGATATAAAGCTCTTCTTTACATATATGTGGGTGTCACTGGATTTGTTTCTCTAGTCCACCCAGCCTAACACAGTGACTCTACAGGACAGAGTAGAACTGCCCCTGTGAGTTTCCAAGGCTGTAACTTTAAGGGAGTATAAAGCCCATCTTTGTCCTGTGGAATGGCTGGTGGTTCCTTACAGCTCACCTTGCAGATCACAGCCCAACTTATAACCACAACACCACCAGAACTCCTCTAAATTGTCAACAGCAACTCTCAAAAGACTAGCCTTGGGGAATAGTGAGTTGAGTTTGTTAGAGGAGGAACAACTCAGTAAAGCAGTGGGAGAATGGCTGTACAGTGTAATCAATGCCCCTGAATTGTACATGTTGAAACATTGAATTGGTGTACATTTTGCTATGTATATTCTTAACAATGTAACAACAAAGATAGTTGTATAGCCCATTCTGTTCAGCACTCACTTGTCCTGTTATAGTTTCTCTAGAATGCATGTTAGAATTCAAAAATAAGCTTTTGCTATGATTTCAGAGAGTATACATCATAGCTGTGATAAATGATTCGGTTTAAAAGCTCTAACATACCAGGTCATATAATTTCTTCACTAAGTAGAATTAATTTTATCCTCAACCAGCATTTATTTTAGGCCTACTATGGGGCGCTGGTGGCTTAGTGGTTATGTGTTGTGCTGCGATCCACAAAGTGAGCAGTCAGCAGCCACCAGCTGCTCCATGCAAGAAAGGCAGGGCTTTCTTCTCCCATAAAGAGTTACAGCCTTGGAAACTCACAGACGCAGTAATACCCTGTCCTGTAGGGTGTGTGTGAGTCAGCATTGACTCAGTGGCAGAGAGTTGGGTTTTATTGGATGGGGGAGGATGGTGCAGGGCTAGGATGAGCTTTACTAAGAAGGTAGAAGAGTATTAAAAGACTAGCATTTCATGTTTTCTCCCAAAACTGATAGGGAAGTTATATTATTTTTAGCATATGTGTCAACAATGTTTGCCCATCTCACTTCTTTCTGTTTTTAGCTCAAGGAGAAATTGAAGCCATAGTCGTGCCTGTTTGCTTAGCATTCCTATTGACAACTCTTCTGGGAGTATTACTCTGCTTTAATAAGCGAGACTTGTAAGTATTGGTATTTTTCAGCCTTATTTGAGTATATATAACGGAGTTTTGATCATTGTATACACATGCATTGCACTACAATCATATAGAACATTTACATGACTCTGAAATGTTCCCCCATGTCACTTTCAGTGTTTTGACTTGTAAAGGGGTGGGGGGGTGGGGGGACTTAGTCCTCCCACCTAACCCTGCCTCCAGGCAATCACTGACCTGCCTTCTGTTAACTGTAGTACTTTCTTTTTTCTATAATTTCATATAAATGGAATTAAACATCTTGCACTTAGCATAGTAATTCATTGTTATTTATATTCATATTTTCTCTTTCATTGCTGAATAGTCTTTTATAATATATCAAATTTTATATGGCATATGAGTTATTTATTGATCTAACAGTGTTATTGACATAATTCACATGCCATACAATTAAATGGTTTAAGTTATTTAAAAAGTTATACAATCACCAAATCAATGTTAGGTCATTTTTTTATTCTTATACTCATTATTATTAACTTACCATTTCCCTCCATGCTCCACTGCCATAACCCTAAGAAGCTTATTAATTTAGTTACTCTCCCTAGGTTTACGTATCCTGAGTTTAATTTAAAGAAAATTAAAGAAGACCCAAAAACAAAACAGAAAACATCAAAACAAAAACACAAAAAATTCTCAATCCAAAAGGAAGCAGAAAATAATAGAAACTAGAACAAAATTTAAAATAGATCAACAGAGAAAGCATGATAATATATAATTTTTATAGATTTATACTTCATAGACTTCAAATTCTAGTTCCAAATAGATGTTTGCAGCTATTTCTTATTTTGGGTCATGCCCCATCAGTAAATAAAGGTCCTGAAGGGTTACCCTGTCCACACCATTACGGTCAACTCTGCTTTGAGGAGGCAGCTCTTCCTCAGTCATGTTTTAAGTGCCTTCTGACCCAAGAGACTCACCTTCTGATACTGTCATCTGACAGTGTTCTGATGCTATTCATGACACTGGCTTAATTCCTCAGATGTGGACTGCCTGTTACTTCTTTGTAGTCTGTTCTGATCTAGAAGCTCTGCTGAAATCTGGTTGCTTTGGGTGACCCTGCTGGTGTTTGAAATACTGGTCACATAACTTCCACCATCACAGCACCATGCAAGCCACCACCAAAGCAAACACTGCTACGGAGTCATTGTCAACTCATTGACCCTAGGGGACAGGGCAGAACTGCCCCTAGGACTTTCTAAGACTAACTCTTTATGGTGTAGAAAGCCCATCTTCCTCCCACTAAATCTGGTGGTTTCTTACTACTGACCTGACTGCTCACAGTGGCCTGACACATAAGCACTAAAACCACTCCAATAGAGCTTACATTTAGAGCACCTAATTTGTAGAAATTATCTACAGACAACAGTGGAAGCCCCAAATCCATTTACAGGGTTCCCATGTGGTTTAAGCCTCCAGTGAATCACCTCCGACCATTGACGAGGGATACGAATAGCCTCGCTATCCGAGAGAGCACTGGAAAGTGGACGGATGCAGATGTACTTAGGTTAAACCTTAACACCTATCATTTGTTCTCCCTTTTGACTCATTTTTAAGTTGTCCTAGTTTTTATTATTTTTAACTTTCTTTTCAGTTAAAGCCGCTCTGTTTCATTTTGTTACTGTTTTTTGGGGGGTTATTGTTTTGTTCTGGGATGTTTTTCTTTATACGAAATCCAGCATAGGTAAATCTATAAAGACTGTAATAGGATTAATGGTTTCTTGGGATTATAGCAAAGGAGGTTGGGGGAAATGGGGAGCTAAAAATAATGAGTATAAGAAAAAAAATGTTCTAAAATTGCTAGTGGTAGTGATTGTACAACTTTTTTGTACAACTTTAAAAATATGTTTAAACTCTTGAATTGTGTGATATATGAATTACATGTAAATAAAACTCTTTTTAGCGTTTAGGTAATGGATATCTTGAATTATTTGCATAGGTTTACTGTTTCTTCCCTCTCGGTAAAAAAAATCAAATTTGTTGCATTTTATTTGTTTCAATGATGAAATGGTATCTAAATCTTCACTGCAAATTTATCTTTTAAAATATTATTTTGGTAGACGAGAGTATAACAACTGTTTTGTGGCCTTGAGATAAGAGATAAGATAATTATATTTATTTTTCTTACAAGAGTCAATTTCAGATTTTTTAATTGAATACTTATTATTAGCTGTAGCCTTAACGGTTTTTATTCCTGAATGTATTAAAATCATTATGCAGTTACAACAGTATTTTTTTTTGGTGCCAATGAAAGCAATCTTTTTAAATCTTTGGAACAGTGTGGTTATTTTCATTGATTAACTGGTTTGAGTCATAGATTCTTAGGTGATTGTGTTTAGAAAAAGAGACCTTGCTTATTACACATGGTTCTTTATGCCATATTTCTTTTCTCTCCAGCATTAAAAAACATATCTGGCCCAATGTTCCAGATCCTTCAAAGAGCCATATTGCCCAGTGGTCTCCTCACACCCCTCCAAGGGTAAGATAGAGCGACTCTGCATTATTTGTAATATCAAGGCTCAGTAGGACTCGTGTGTGTAATTTAACCAAAAGATTATCAGGTTAAATTGAAAAACAAATGAAATTTTCAGTGAATTTGCACAAATACCTACACATTCTAGGAATTTATTGTCATCATAGAATGTCAATTTTTATATTAAAGATTAATGTTTTTAAAAATTAGAATTTGAAAATAGAAAAATTTATTGCTAAAGATATTTTGAGTTTAATACATCTACCATTTTAATATGGATATGGAGTGACTTCAGGAAACAAGAGTCTTTAACAGAAGTTAATATGTTAAAAGGGGAAGTGATTTTTAAAAAGATCCTTAAATTGCGTTAACATCAAAATGTATACTTTCATATTCTACAAACCCTGTTTATACAAGTTTGTTTTTTCTTGATGTATTTTATACTTAATTCAGTTAATACTAGACTATCTAATCATTTACTATTGTTTATGAAAAACTACCTATAGCCATGAGTTTATCAAAATAGGATTTGGAAGTTCTGGAGAAATACAGCCCGATTATACTTGTTAGCTTGATTTCACAGTGTTTGCAAGTCAGGTGGATAAAAGTGAGTCAGTGATACTAAGTTGTTGCTGTGGCTTTAAACTATATGAGGTGCTTCATGAAGTTTGTGGAGGAAATTCCATCTTTTCATCCTATTTTTCCTATTTCCTGTTTTGAAGACACTTCATATTTGCCATATATCTCTTGTGTTTGTGAAACAGCATAAATATATACAGTGGCTAATAATTCATTTTCTCTCTTTCTTAGCACAATTTTAATTCAAAAGAGCAAATGTTTCCAGATAACAATTTCACTGATGTAAGTGTTGTAGAAATAGAAGCAAATGTCAAAAAACCTTTGCCAGAAGATCTGAAATCATTGGACCTCTTTAAGAAGGAAAAAATTAGCACCGAGGGACACAGCAGTGGCATTGGAGGGTCTTCGTGCATGTCATCATCCAGGCCAAGCATTTCCAGCAGTGATGAAAATGAATCTGGACAGAACACTTCAAGCAATGTCCAGTATTCCACTGTGGTACATAGCGGCTACAGACACCAGGTTCCATCGGTTCAAGTCTTCTCAAGATCTGAGTCTACCCAACCCTTGTTAGATTCAGAGGAGCGGCCAGAAGACCTCCAGATAGTAAATAACGGAGACAGTGGTGGTGATGTATTGCCCAGGCAACAGTATTTCAAACAAAACTGCCATCAACCTGAAACCTGCCAAGATGTTCCACATATTGAAAGGTCAAAGCAAGCTTCATCACTCACTGAGGAAGATTTTGTCAGATTTAAACAGCAGCCAACTCCAGACCATATTTCACAGCCCCGTGGCTCTGGGCAAATGAAAGTGTTTCAGGAAGTTGCTACAGCAGATGTTTTCGGTTTAGGTACTCAAGGAGAAGCAGAGAAATTGGGGATGGATGAAGGATTGCCTAAAAGTTACTTACCACAGACTGTAAGACAAGGTGGCTATGTGCCTCAGTGAAATACTGTTCCCTGCTACAACTTCATCAGGAGCCATAACACAATGCTGAAAGTACTTTACCTGTCATTTCAGATGAAAATAGCATCCACTCACTGAAGATGATCACTTCCCTCAAGGACAGAAAGTACACTATGCTCTCAGTGGGCTATCCCCTTTCCAGACTCTCGGGTTACTTTAAGCACTACATGAACTGACTTCCTCCCCTGAATAGCTGGATGGCTCTGGGCTGTTTCAGGACGTTTGCACTGAAGAAAAGTGGAAAGATTGCCTTTTTGTTTTGCTAGATAGAAAAAAAGGATCATTAAGTAATAAGCAGCAGAATACTTAGTGATTACAGCTATATATATTTTGCTTAATATAATCATCAAGTAAAGTAATGGGGATATTTAATATGAAAAACTAAGGGGAAAAGTCTAAAATCTTCAGGTTGACAACATGATTTAAAAAGGATTTATAGTCTGAACAACAACAACAACAACAACATCTTGGCAGATTATAGAAATAATCCTTAAAATATTACATAATCAATAATCATGATTTTAAGTTTTTCTCTATTTTTAGTAGGCATGTGTTTCAGAACCCATTTTCACAAACTCAGTAGAACGCCCAAATTGAAAAATGAATTTCAGCAACTATCCTAAGAATTTTTAAAAAAAATAATAATTTGCCACTTTTAAAGGACTAACTGTAACATGTTTCTATACAAAATTATTGACCCTTCCCACAAAAGCTTCTATTGACAAAATCCAACATGTACTTGCAGCTTCAAATGTGTTGGAACCTGTAGAGAATGCAGTGTCACTAGTGCCGCTCACCAGCCACAGGAGTGCTGTAGACCCACTACAGGGTTCCTGTGCAGGCCCCTCACTCACTCACCCAGAAGTGAATGCATCACTCTTGAGAACTCGAGCGAGCGGGGGAAGAGGAAGGCCCTCAAGGAGCTGCGAGAATGGGCTCCAGCACAGGAATAATTGTGAGGATGGAACACGACCGGGCAGTGCTTCACTCGGTGTATCGGGTCGTTACGGGTCAGAACTGACTCCCTGGCACCGAACAGCACTAGTACGGAGCACACATCTTTGCCCTGTAGAGAAAAGCAGTCATGAAACTGGTTTTAAACCCCGAATTATTTTCCTTGAGCATGTCTCAGAATAGCCCATGTTTTACTGCATGTATTTTAGCTAGGCCAAGGAACAAATATGGTGGGTTTTTTGGAGTCCACATGTAAGTTAGTACATTTGCTGTTCTTTAAAACGTAAATATCCCCACATGTTGTCTTTGTTTAAAGTTAGGGCAACACATCAGAAAACAACCTTTCTGGGAAAACGATTTCATGGCTTCTGAAGTCCCCTTGGAGGCCAAAGGGAAACTAACCCAGCATGTGTTGTGGGGTCTGTCTTTGATGGGCCATCCTTACCTGTCACCTAAATCAGGGAAACCACAAAACTGCAGACTTCCTGCCCGCCCAGAACTAAACTTTTGATCCTCTTATGGTTTTTTAACACGAATCATACAAAATATTTCGAGGACAAGCAGGGAGGAAACAGTCATTTCACCTCTGCTCTCTGCCTGATTGTTTTAGATCTGCCCTTCCCTGTTCAGGAGTTTTGCCCATGAAGCCAGCAGTGTCCCTAGGGCTTCTTGTGAAGTTCAAGATGAACACCGCTGAAGCTTATTCAGGCTCACTACTCAAGGGGATAGTCTAAAATAGCTCTAGACTAAGCAAATAGCATTTTACAGGATCTTTTTGTTTTCCTATACAGTGAACTCAAATAAAATTATGACATCAATGTAAACCAATTATATAGTAGCATTCCCTAAGCTATTGTTACCTGGCCTGTAATGATTGAGCCAAACAAGCAGGAGAACAACCTCTCCTGTCACAGGCCACCTAACTCTTCGCATCTGCTTTTGTTCAGCCGAGCAGAATTTTAAACCACATGTACACTAAACTGCAGTTATAATATATATTTAATCTAAAAAACTGTTTGCATTTTAGAATACTAATGTTTTAGCATCGGTTTATTGAATAAAGTGTCCAAGTAGTAAGCTACTTAAAACTTCAAGTGAAAAGCTAAAAGATAGACTTGAGTTATCTATTATACTGAGTGTATACTTTTATTGTAAATTAAGAAAACCAACAGCCATAAAGTGCAACTTATTTAGGGTTAGCATGTTTCAGAGGAGATCTAAACTAGCAAACCTACAGCCTTATTCTCGGGACTGGTCCTCCCCAGCAGTTCCTCTTCAGTCTTTATTCCCAGAAAGGAGGCCCATGGAAGACCATCAGGCTTTCCTTAGCAGTGCTTTTTAATTTTTACTTTTCTATTGCGTTGTAAGTAAAATGTTAAAATTTTTAAAATATCCACAGCCAAATGTAATGTCATTTGAGTCGGTCTCTTTTCCCATCATATATGCTATCAATATGTGTCCCTTGTGCAAATGATGGTGATCCAGTATGCATTGCATTAAAAAGTAGCTCAGCGTGAACTCCTCTGTTATTAGCCCTACATAGCCAAGGCTTTCCCCAGTCAGTAGTTCCCTCCAGCTGGTACATTTCACTTGATTTCATTAAAGCTAGTAGAGACAGTTAAAGTTCCTTTAAGGCAATATTGATATTTCAGAGCTTTTATCCTTTGAACTGAATTTGTTTGAGTGATAACTGCATGTTTCAGATGCTATTCCAGGAATACCACAATATAATGTGTTAGACAAAGAGGAATTTTAAAGCTGGATCTGAAAAGTCTTTTGTTTTAATGTGTATGTATATTGAATAATATGCTCAAATTTGTAACTCAGTAGGACTACAATAGAATGATTGGTGTTTGATGCATATGTCTATTTTGCCCTTCTCTGTCCCATTTCCTCTTAAATATTGTACTTTAACGTCCACTCACTATTTTATTTTACCCCCACTTATCCTCACTTCCTCAGGAAGGCTAGTCTAGAATGTTGTGTATATATTTACCTTTGCAGTGAATTGCATGTACTAAATGTAATCATGACTCCTGTTTATGTTGTCACTACATATTATCGTAAAATTCTTTCATATATCAGGTTTAATCCTTCAAATTTAAGAAATAAATAATTATTCTTCATTTGTGTGTGCAATCTTCCATTTCACTGTCAATACTGTGATGTGTGAGGTACAGTTGGATTGCTAATTACAAGGTCATTAAGTCAAATCCCATGGCTGCTCTGCTGGAGAAAGATGAGGCTGTTTGCTCCTATAACGATTTGCAGTCTTATGTATGGATTGTTATAGGAGCTGTAAGAGCCTCCAATGAAACTGAACCTAAAAATAATAATAAAAAGATTTTAGTCTTGGAAAACTTTGGGAGCAGCCTTACTCCACCCTAGAGGGTCACTATGAATTGGAATTGGCAGTGGGTTTGGGTTAGGAATATCTTGGCATAATGGAGTAAAATTGATTTTAAAAATGTATTGGCATGGAATGGCAGTCTTTTCCCAGGCATCCATTCTCCCCAGTGAATTTTCTTTTTCCCAACCAGTTGCCAAGGCACCAAATTCAAAGGTGCTGTACTGACTTGCGGCACTTCTCCCCTGCATCCCTGTCACAGTCAAGAAGCCGACCAACACATACTGTCCCACTGCTGCCCTCTTGAGTTTGACCGTGAGCTCAGCAGCTCCACCTGGAAGAAGGGAACTCTCAGGCCACCTGCCTTAATGTGATTTTATCTGAAATATGAAATGAGTCAAAAATCCGTACACCAACTAACAAACTTCAACCCATCACATATGTACTAGAAGTTTTGGAAATGATACCTTTCTTGGCTTTGGACTGTATTCTTTTGTTGAACATTTTTATACTTGGCTATATGATTCTTTAGGCTCAGACTGGAATCGCTAAGGCTTCGTACCTCTTAATCCTAGTATGTTTTCATTCTAGTAGGGATTCATGCCATCCTGCTTCCAAAAACGTTGCATAACTCCCTTAAAGCATTCTGTTTCAATGTCCAGAGGAAGAAAGCCATTTCCTTACTCAAGATGGCTTAAACTTTGTGCCTAAGCTCTTCTAAAGGTTATATAACACAGTCCTTCTATACTTTGAAATTAGATGCAAAAAGTAGACTACCCAATGAAAATGCATGAGTCTACCTCCATGCATACCCTTACCTGTACCTCCAAGTCCCATGCGCCGACTCATCAATGGAGAGAACCAGCAACGTAGGAGAGAGGAGAGCTGAGGGCTGGTGAGCAGGGGAGCTCCCACCGCGCAGAAGCTAGGTGAAAGCCCGCGTCCCTGCCGCTGCTGGCTGCTTGGTGAGGTTGGCACCTGGCTCTTCAGAGAAAGGTGATGTGGTTTCTCAACAGCTTGAAACAGTTCTATCTCCATTGAGGGGAAAACCAATTAACAGGTTCCCCCTGACCCCAACTGCAAGTTTTAAACACCAAGGACAGCATAGCTTAGTTTGGGGGAGTCTGGGCCTTCCAAACATGATTCTTTCACCTTTGTTCTCCCTGACCTTTTTCCTATCAGAAATGCAAGGCTCCGGTGCTATTTATTATTTGGGAACATTTTAGTAAGATTCATACCCCTCTTCAGTGGTTTTTGTTGTTTTTATTCCCCAGTGCATTTGTATGAAATTAGACTCGATGGGATGGCGTGGTGAGATGGTAGATAATAAATATAAAAAACTCAAACTCAATGCCATCGGGTTGATTGCAACTCAGCGCCTCTGTAGGACAGAGCAGAACTGCCTCTGTGGGTTTTTGAGAGTAATTTATGGGAGTAGAAAACCTCATCAGTCTCCTGATAATAGATATATGGCAAATACCCTGTTTCCCCGAAAATAAGACAGTGTCATATTAATTTTTGCACCCAAAGATGCGCTAGGTCTTATTTTCAGGGGATGTCTTATTTTTCCATGAAGAAGAATACGGTACACATTTATTGTTGAACAACAACAAAAATGGAAATTTATTACCTGTGTACCGTATGGTAGTAGTTGTCATCACAAACCAGCAAAACCAGACAAACTGAATCCTGCAGTATCAAGAATTTCTTGTTACTCCTGACC